ACCACGCCAAAATTCAACTCATCAAGGGAGAATTCCCCAAATCAATGAAATTAAAACTCAGGAAACACTTAGGCAAAACATGTCAAAAGAAATCAATCATATTGGGGACCAAAACTCAAGACGGACAATTGGTCCAAACTCGACGTTGTCATACGAAACATTTTCTTTTTTGTTCAAAAAGTTTCTAAAAAAGCGAGCCAAGCGTAACTTAGAGCTATTTCGTTCCTAAAAAGGTGGGCTACGCATAACTTAGAGCAAATTCAATTTTTTTATGTTAAGTTCGATCAGAACAATTTAAAATGACTCTACATAAATGAAATGTTGCTCGACAAAAATGGGAAAATCAAACTTCCATTAATTCAAATAGTTTAGTTACAACCTAAAAAAAAAAAAAAAAAAAAAAAAAAAAAAAAAAGATAGAAAAAAAACAAAAAAAAAAAAAAAAAAAAAAAAAAAAAAAAAGATAGAAAAAATCTAAACAACAAGAGTAGGAGCATAGTCGGTAGCGGGAATCACAGTAGCATCCTCAAGAGTAAGAGCCGAGAAATCTTTGAGAGGCTCGGTCGAAGGAAGGTCGCCAACGATAGTTGGGAGCGAGGCTAGAGAGCTTGAGTCTTCAACCTCTTGTTTGACTTCAGCTTATTTCTCCTCTTCTTTGATCGTCTTCTCATTTTCGTTGTCGGGCTCAGAGATGTTTGAATTTGTCGGGCTCAGAGATGTTTGAATAAACATACTTCAAGCTTTGTGCCTCAGTTTTCATCCTCTCGATCTCCTTCCAATAGACCGTAGAAAGGAAAGAGAAGGCAAGTGAAGGATGAGCTTCCCAGAGTTGCTAGACCAAGTAGATCGAGGTATCCCATGCATGGCTCGACTTTCAACCTTAGGTCCCTGGCATTGAGCTTGAGACGTTCAGCCACTAACTCAGCCTCTTTGAGATCTTCCCTCTCTTAAAAGATTTTGCGCGAAGCCTTCTCATATTTGGCCTCCTAATCCGAGGCAGCCTTTTCAGCCTGGCAAGTTTAAAATTAAGCTTATTGTTGGCACCCCGCTGTTATGCCAGACTCTTCTCAGTTTCGGCCAAGTTCACTTCATCTTTTGCTCAAAGGCCTCAGCCTCTTTCTTCAGCCGCTCAAGCTCGACCTATAGTGAGTCATTCTCCTTCTTCACCACCTCAACCCTAATCAAGGCATCTTCTTTCAGTTCTTTGCTTCTTGCCACCCCGCATGGGTACCCTCCAATATGGGATAGCTCTTATCGAGGAGGAGCTTGGTTGCCACGCAAGCCTGAAAAGGAAAAAGCAATTAGCAAGAAATAAAAGGAAAAGCATCTAAGAAAGAAAGGAAGGTGAACTATCAATACCTTGGTGATGTAGCTGTAGGCGTGAGCAAGCTGCTCATGAGGAGGGGCATCTCATAGGTCCATTACGAGATGGCCTCCCTGGCTGCCAAGGCTCCAACACCTATGTGATGTAGGAGCCCATCAATCAATGTGTCAAGCGTAGCCCAAGCTACCTCATCCACCTTCCCTCTACCTCCTCGCAGAGGTGAGCTTGACTTGTTTCCCACAAGAATGACAGCTTCACCCATTAGAATGAATTTCTTTTTGGCCAAGCCCTTAGTCGAGGTATTCTTCTGGCCACCAACTTGCCCGACAACTTTCTTACCCGAGCCTTCCAACTACTAGGTGATTTTTTGCTTTCTTAAGCCTCTCTATTACTTGGTCTACTTTTTCTTGTTTGAGCCCTCTTGTTGCTCGAACATTTTCTTCTTCTTCGAGCCTTTAGCTTGCTCGAGGGTTTTCTTCGCCAAGCCCTTTGAAGGCTCGAGGGCACCTTTATCCCTGACTGCCTTAGAGGCAGTTGCGGGCTTCTTGGAACTTGTGTCTTTCCCAAGTTCACCGCCACTATGCTTGAGGACTGGGTGCGAGGTACCTTGTCTAGCCTCCTTAGTAATATCTGTAGGCTACATCTTCGCTAGAATAATCGGCAGCTTCTTGGCAACCTGCAGGCTAACGCTTTCTTCTTCAAGTCCTTGGGTTTTTTAGCCCACATGTTTGCAAAGAAGAAACAAGTTGTTAGTGACCTAACAAGACGAAATTATCAACAGCGAGTTGTCTAGTATTTATCTTTTTCAAAAATGGTGCAAAATTTAGTTGCGTCTACACAAAAGCTATACAGTTTCAACTGAAAAGCGTGATGAGTTGGGTAATGTCGCGCTCACTATTGGGGAGATTGTTGAAATGGTGAAGCCATTCTAAGTGTTTATTTCCATGGTCATTCGTGTTTGATTTTATTTTTGCTTCAACCAAGTGTTGTATATCGTATCTTCATTTACTTTGATTTTATATTTCATTTTAATTAGTTTTTGTTTGTTTATAACGAAAATGAAATAGAAATCAATGTACTGTTTAATTTTTATGTTTATAATGAGCTTGCATAAATTTTTTTTTTTTTCGTTTCTTAATGGGACAACCAAAATGTTTTTTTAAGTTTTTATGCTACAGTAAGAATGATTTATTTGTAATGTTTAATCTTTTGGTGATAAGAATCATAAGATTTGGCAGATGCAACCATTGCAAGTGTGTTTTGACAATTTATAGGGATGTGTCATGTGTTGATACTGCTATCATTATATCAAGAAGGTGTTATAAGTTTTTCTGTGGTGTGTGGGGCTGGTTGGGAATCTAGGAAAACCCATTGGAGAACATGATTTTCCTAAAATTTAATTAATTTTTTTGGATGGAAATAGTGACTATGTGATGGTGGTAGCAGTAATCGGATGGCGACAATAATTTGGTGGCGATGGCGATGGCGGTGGCAGGGGGAGCGATAGTGATTTACAATGTATTACTTGAAAGTCTATCCTTCGAATAATTACAATACAAAACAAAATACACTTGCATAAATAACTTTAACTTAATTGAGAGAAAACATGATTGAAGAAGAGAGAGCATGTAGACATGTTTCCAACAAACAATATTGCATGGTTTAGGGAAGACTTTTTTTTTTTTAAATTAAAATAAAAAAGACTACATTGAATTAAAGTTTTTCCTTTTTTTCTATTAGAAGTCATGCAATCTGCAGCCAACTAGACGTTTAATTATATTGAGACATTACTGTTAAGTGGTTAAACCCTAAACCATAATAACAAATTAGTAACAAACAATAACCAAATTATTAACAAACAATAATTTTTTTACAAATAAATAAATAAATAAAATTACTAAGCCACTTAACAATAACCAAATAATACCCACAACTCATAATAATCAAGAACATCAAATAATTTCACCCAAATCATTCAAACAAAAAAATTCCGCCCTAAAACCTTTGTCACTACTATAATCTAATCTAATTTCTCATATCAATATCGGATAACTCTTGAGTGATATTCATTGTCTGATTAATATCATTGTTTACATTCCTTAGCCTTTCACTCATTTTGCCACTCCTAAAATCAGGGGCAGATCCAACCCCTTTGAGGGTAGGCCTCATATTTTTGAAAATATTGCTTATATAGGCCCACAAAAAAAAATGATATTAATATATATATATCCAGGTCTACCCTCAGATGTAAAATATATATATATATCCAGACCCATAAAAAAACTTGCTATTAATATATATATTTCAGGTCCACATCATATTAAAAATTAAAAACTCTCTCAACTTTTCTCTACGTCTCCACCTACTTTTTATGATTTTATTCACAAAATTTTTTACTCTTTCATTCTCTCATTCTCTTTCTGATGCTATCCGCTCTTAAAACTTTTGAAGACTGAAATTGTTAAAGCTTTCACTACTCAAGGTGCCACAATTAACTCCGTTTTCTGTTTTATCAGTTTTAGGTATGTGTATTGCTCATTTCATTTTAGTTTATTTTAGGGTTGAATCATGCTTTTTTTACGGTTTTTTATTCTAATTTGATGGGAAAAGGCATGGATCTTGTGAGTTTGTTTTGTGTTTTGTGTCTAAGAATGTTCCCACTTTCCCATATTAAACCTTAACTATATTTTACTTGACGTTATTCTTCACCCTTCACCTGCCACTTTCCTACGTTTCAAAAGTCACCGTTTAATTACTCAAAATTATTAAAGAAGTTTGAGTTATTATCTATGTTTATACCAAGAAAAATCCCCCTTTTTTTTATTAATTCATATTAAAAGTTAACGCAAAGTTGACTTGATTTAAGTTTTGGTTGACTTTAGCTTAGGCTAAGTCGATTAAAGTCATGAAAATTTATATTATACTCTTAGAAAGCCAAAAAAAGGGGGGGGGGGGGGGGGGGGGGGGAGAGAGAAATAAGAAATTTGTGTGGAATATTTTTTGTGGATTGTGGTTGTTGTAAACTCTTTTAATTATATTAGATTTAAGTAGATCGTTAGATTCACGTGGTTTTTTGCTCTCTTCACATTGAAGAGGTTTTTCCAGATAAAAAATTTCTTATGTTTCCTTGTGAATTTGATGTTATTTTCAACTTATTTGCTCAAGGTTTTGTTTCTCATAGATTTATTCAAGTAGTAAAGTATTGTTTTATTGCATTATTTTCTTTCAGGTTCTTAATATTGTATTATTTCCTTTGCTTAAGGTTTGATGATTTTTTTAAAGTTTTTACTAGTTGTTTGGCAAACAATGGCAAAGCCGCAGAGGCCCCCCCACCGAGTAAAAATCATGGGTCTACCACTGCCTAAAATCCTCATTAATATTTGACATATAAATGTCTTGGCTTATGTTCAAATCAAAATAACATACATTTTCATTAACAGTCGCATGCTCATTACCTGTACTCTGTTGTTTGACCTAAAGAGCAAACCAAAATGTTTTTAAAACCCGAGTCAAGTTAAAATGTGGTGTCAATGACAGTAAACAATATCATACAGTGATTGTACTTGACTTGAAACAATTGAACTAGTGTTATTTGTTGATCGACCTCATCATCTCCCTCTTCAACCTCTTGCTCTACTCTGACCTTCTCCGCCTCGACATGCTTGTTGATTCCTGACTACATTATTTTGGCAGAGTTCGCGTCGTGATCTGTATCATTACTCCGTGGACATCTACGACTCCAAGTCACAAATATATCAAAGACAATTGTATTTCTTCCCCTATTATCATCATCTAGTTGCCTCACAATAACGTCATTTGAGTTCTCTTCTTGCACATTCATCCCATCTTGCCAATTCAACAATTCTGCCTTTAAGTCTTCCAACCTCTTGTCCAAGTACTCCAACTTGTTCCTATTGTCAAGGCAACAACAACATGCTTCTTGAAATTTCTTATCCATCCTCCTTTATGTTTCATACTCTCTTGTCATGTGCAGATACCCTCTTATAAAAAACATATAGCTATGTCGTCGATAAACGTCTGTCCTCCACCTCCTTATTAGATAATGCTCATTGATCATGTTAATGTCTTTCACAGACAATATCTTGAAAATATGGCAACAGATGATTCCCTTTGATTCAAATTTCTTGCAATTACATTAAAATTTGAGAAGGAAAGAAAAATCAAACATTAAAATTTTACTTGTCTGAATGAAGCCAAACACAATGAAACCAATATTACACGGGAATCATAAACCAAATTCATCTCCCATTTCCAATAACTACAATGAAACCAAAATTTTAAAAGCTTAATTTATAATATACAATTTCAGTAAATTATAGAATATTCAGGTTCCAACCTATATCACACGTAATTTTGGTAATATTTACCATATGCTAAAGTAACTACAATATATTACTCATGTCAATAATATTTCCTTAATGTTAGACTATAAAATATGTATCCTAAATTCATAATTCAAACCTATTTCACACGTAAAAGACTTTGAAAATTTTGAAAGAAGTAAAACAATGATTATCACACACACGTAATACTTCTGAAAAAGAAAGAAAAAATTTATGCACGAACCTGCAATTACACCTCACAATTGTCCATCTTCTATATACTCAACTTCATAAGTGAACTCCTTGCGATACTAGTCATTCACTATACATCTCTTCGTCACCTTGAACTTCTTAACACCATCTTACTGCACTTCCTCATCGATATGTGGAGTTACATTGCAGTACAACATGCGCCTTATCTCGTCTTGAACAACCCTGAACATTCCGTTTGTGAATGCTCGCTGAAACTGCCTCTCCAATTCAAATTCATAAATGCACTTAAGCACTATATCTTTACTTCTAAAATCAGCACAAAATTCCTTCTCCATCTTATTGTGATAGCAATCTCGTACTGATCCACAAATTGTTTAAACATTCTCGTCGAATTCACATACCCATCAAAATATGCATGCATGACCTCATCCCCTTGAGTTGATAGCATTCCAACCCATAATATGTTGTTCAAATAGATTGGCACCCAATTTGTCCTCTCCCTGAAAAGCTTCAACAACCATTCATTTCCCTGCAGCCCATGCCTCTCCATGAAACCATCCCAATTGCTCTCAAACATCTCAACAGTTAAGTTGTCATATATGATAGCTTTAAACTCATGAACTACAATATCATAATTTGCAATACTCCTAAACTTCTTTGGGACTTTACATAGAATATGCCACAAGCAAGATATATGAACAATATTGGACATGATTTCTAAGATGGCTTTCTTGATACTTTCACATTGATCACTGATTATGGCTTTTGGATGAATGTCTCCCATTGCTGACAGCCAACAAGTGAACAACCATTTAAAATTATCAACATCCTCTTGTGAAATCAAGCACAACCTAATAGAATGGATTATCTATGGTGGTTGATGCCTACAAATGTAGCGAATGGCATTTTGTACTGGTTCACTAAGTATGTTGTGTCAAAGCTAACAACATCATTGAACTCCTCGTAAGCAACTTTGGAATGAGATGAACCCAAATGACATTGAAAAACCTAGAATCACTGTAAACATCAATCAAGTGAAAAAAATCTCTATCCCCTTGCTGCATCCTCAAGAATAATATGTGGATTGACTCAACATCACCTTCACCGAGTCTCAACCTCTCTTTTTTCAATGAAATTGTGACGATCCTTTGACAACCATGTTAGATTCTCTAGCCCACCATATTGGACTTCAAGCAACCTAGTGCTTTTGCAAGGCCTGAACCCAGCAATATCATTAGCCTCTCGATTTCTCCTCACTTCAGGATTCAAATTCTTATGCCCTGCCATGAGCCTACACATTGATGTATCCAAATCATGATTGTGGTTTGTCTGAACTTTTGTAACCTGCCACTTTCCATTAGATTTTAGAACCGCGTTTAACCTAGCAGGACAATTTGTCCTCTTCAAGGACTTCTCATAATATGCTTTCATTCCTTTGTCACAACTAATAGTTTGATATCTTCTATCATCATTCCTTCCCTTACATGTTGATTTCTTCGCAAGAGCAAAGCCTTTATATTTTGCATGCTCTTTATATGCTTTGAAGAAAGATTCCAAGCTACGAAAAAACAAACCTGCCTAAGGACCATGTTCAACAATCGCTTCTGCTTTATTAGTACTTGCTTTGGTATCCGAATTTACAATTTCAGTGCCATGGGTCGTCACTCCATCATCGTTCACATCATAGGTCATTGAGTTTAATCTTCATTGTTGTCGAAAATTGCTTCCAATACCGCATTTCGCTCTCCATATTCCATAGTTTCCTTCCAAATTGAACAATGAATAATACTTTCCTTCCAACACGAAAATCAGCACTTATTAATAAACAAAATCATACCAAACGAAATATGAACTCTTAGATTACAAAACAAACTTCTATAGTTGTCTAAGTTCTTAATTCTTACATTACAAAACAAACTTCTGATTTCTCTTTAAATTAAACCAATTTCATTACAACTTCTCTAGTTGCTAAATGTTTACATGTCCACCATTTTGGTCTTAAATTTCTTTCTTTCCTTTTTAAAGTGTCTGATTGTCAATACTAGATTTTTATTTCTTATTTAACTATTAATGGAATTAAACATAAATTAACTTAATTAAACTAAGGAAGTCTGTATGTTTCAATCCGATGCTCTTACCAATTTCAAAATATTATTTCTTCAAATAAAGAAGGAATTACTATCCATCATCCCCAACTTTCCTTCTCAAAATCCTAATTGTTTTGAAAGTAAAAAGTGGCCATTACAAAATCTCTCAACACCTAAAACAAGTATTGGATAACGATAATACTCTCTTATTCTTCTTTGAAACTCTTAGGTTGTCATATATGAACATTTTTTATCTAGCTCTCTCTATTTTATCACAATATGAACTAGCATTTTTTATCCAGTTATCTCTATTTTATCAATATACATAAAACATTTTGATCAATATATAGAAAACAGTAATATACCAAAAACATTTTTTATCTTGTTCTCTCTATTTTATCAATATTCAAATCAATATACAGAATACATTCAAATCAATATACATAAAACATTGATATATGGAAAACATTTTTTATACAGCTCTCTATTCTAATCAATATACAAAAAACACTTTTTATCTAGTTTTCTCTTTTTTATCCACACAACATTCATATTAATATATAGAAAAAAAATTTATCCAGCTCTATCTATTTTTTCTACACAACATTAGATCAATTACAGAAAACATTTTTTATCCAGCATCTATTTTATCACAATATGAATTAGCATATTCATTTGTTGGCGAAAATGAGATAAAACGGTGTACCTTTTATGAAATTGTGATGAAAATCAATGTGTTTCACTTTGGGTGCTTCTCATAAGGGATTACACTTGCAAACGGTTCTGACACAAGAAAAAAGCATGCACAACCTTGGTCATCGTCCACATCCATACATTTCTACCTAGTTAATCATCACATTGCTTAGATAGTTTTTATCCTAGTTAGTAAATACGCGTATAAAATGCGTATTTACGTATTTTATAAAGGACTGCAGAATTATTCGCGAATTATTGGAGTATCCGTATAATTCACGAATTATTCGCGAATTTAAAAAAAATAATAATAATAATTGAAACGACGTCGTTTTAAAAGGGGGGGAATAAAAAAACTAACCAGCCCAAAGACATCCACTTTCCCGCCCATTCCCCCACACCTGACACCTGTACATTTCAAACTCAAAAGTAATATGTAGAGTTCACGTTTTCACCTGCCTCTTTGTATTCATTTTGTAATGAATAATTTTCTTGAATTAAATAGTAATTTGCTTAATTATGATATTGAGTCAAAACACATTTCATATTTTAAATTATTTCCATGCTATCTAATAAATTAGATTGGATTAATGAAATTAAAATAATAATTTATTATGAAAAAAAAAAACTGTCATATATTATAGGTATAAAATAATAGTTAGACTATTGTAACACTAATATTTTATATAGATTTGTGAGACAAAATTTTAGTTTTTGATTTAAATAATTTAATGGATTAATAGAAAGTTAAAATTGGTTGCATTTAATATCAAACTTATCAAGTTATAAATTAGTAAAGAATCATGGCTAAATATTGTGTTTGAGTCTGGAGACTATAATTTAAATATCAGTTATATATTATATATTTGTGTTATTGGTTAATTGAATACTTTACATTTAAAATACTATATTGATTTTAGTCAAGTAATCCATAAAAGTATTAAAACTAAGATTGATATTGCCGCATTTTTCAAAACGTATTATTGACAATGCACCGTATTAAACCCGTATATACCCGTATCGTATATTTCCCGTATTCGAATTTTATGGCCTAATTTTTATAAACGTATTTTTCACTGTTTGCCATATTATACCCGTAAAACTCTCGTACCGTTTTTTTGCCGTACCCGTATTTACTAACTAGGGTTTTTATCATTGTTTATACCTTCTTTATATCGTACCAACACCCGTAAGATTATTAACTCTATTTCTTTCAATGTTCATAGCAAACACAAAATTCTCATTGCACCCATCTATTCATATACTCATATCTCCAAAACTCGGAGCTTCATTTATCTCATTTTTTCCACCTTTTTACTGTAATGAGCCACTGAAGTTTACCTTTTTTTTTCTTTTTTTTTTCTTTTTTGTAAGAAATTTAATTATTACAATAAATTAATTCCAACTTTCAAACTTCTATTATTGGAAATATTGAAATAATAATTACTTCTCTCTCATTCTTCCATAATGTCAATGAAGGGAATTGTTTTCCCTTTAAAAGGCAGGGTTTAGGAGCCAAAAATAAATTTAGTTTACTGAAGAGTAAATTCGTAAATTTACCTTCCCAAAAAAGGTTTTTGATCCAATCAACTGACCCAAATAGCACTGTCTTTCGGTTTAACCCCTCAAGATGCATTAATTAGGTATTTTCAAAGTGCATTGATTACGTAAGCTGTATTGAATCTCAACCACTCAAAGCCTTTTGATCTAACGACTCATAAATTGCACATATAATGCACTTGAAAAATAACATAATTTAGGTTTAATCTCAACCATTCAAATAATCAAATGCTTTAATCTAACAGCTCAAAAATTGTATAAAAATTTGTGTGAAAAAAGGGCTCATGATCTATAAGTCATAGCCGTCTACTGTCATTTTAAAGGTCTCAAGGAACAAAGGTGAATGTAAATATAACAATAAAAAATAATAATCATAATAATAACTGATCCCGTGACCCTAAAAAGTTAAGAGAACTCAATTGGATTAATGCATTCAACTGTAATAAAAATTATAAAGAAAAGAAATTGGGTCATATGGTATGTTTAATTATTTACCAGTAATATTTTATGACATGACAGGAAATAACAAAATAGAAAAAAATACGTTTAAATCAGTGCACACGTTTTTTTTTTTTTTTTTTTTTTTAGTAATACTACACCCACAACTTTTTTTATACAAACTTTCTCTCATAAACTTATATGAGAAAAAAATGATTTGGTGAAAGTTTATTTTAAATTTAAAATAATCTGATCATCTTTTGCCTATGGGTGAGCGATTTTGGGTACCCTGCGTTTTTTGGGAGAACTGAAACTGGAACTTCAGGTTCCTAGGAAAAGGAACGAGAACCGGAATCGAAATCGACAGGTTCTAGTTCTTTGATTCTTGGAACCGGAACCTGAAATGCAGGTTCCAATTCCTTACCCGGGTACCCTGTAAAAAATTGTTACCCTCCTATTAGTTTAAAAAATGACAAACACGCCTTAAAATTTTACAAATACACCCTTGAAAAATTAAGAAATCCTTAAAATTATAAATATATATATTTTACAAAGTATAGTTATGGACTTAATTTTGGGAATTAAATTTTAGTGAACTTTATTATCCAAAAATATAAATATTATATAATATTATAATTACTATAGTGAAAATAAAGTTAAATTAACATTATTTGTGAATTTGTGACAATAAAATAAAATAAAATAAAATATTAATATTAATATGATTTATGAATATTTAATTACATAACTAGTATGACTCTAACTTTAAGTTTTCTTAATATAATGTGACTCATGAGATATGAGTTATCACACTATAATGTACTAATCATTTAATAAAGTAATGTAATAATTTAGCAAATTATTAATGTTTATAATGTAACGTTATAATTAATTAAGTAATCATACTATAAATCTATAATGTAATATTATAATTAATTAATGATAAGGTAATCATTTAAATAGTAATGTACTAATGTTTATCAATTTATCATATATAATTAATTAATTATTAATTTACTATAGATATACTTAGAATTTGATAATTGAAATAAATAACTAAATGTTATTCAATCAAATATATTATTTTATTAAAAAATAATTCTTTTAATAACATTAAAACACTTTTAATTTGATCCTGATTCCAATTATAATTTATATACTTAATTAATCAAAACTTTAATATTATAATTTATATACTTAATTAATCAAAACTTTAATATTATAATATATTAAAGTTTTTTATATGTAAAATTTTTAATATATTAATTTGATTAGGTTATTATAATATATTAAAGTTTTTTATATGATGAAGTATATATGTATAATTAATTGTATATATATTTGATTAGGTTATTATTATTATTATACTATAATTTTTTATATAACATTTCATCCCATTTGGCCATTTTGAATTTTTTATATGTAAAATTATAAAGACCCCCAATTTTTTACAATATTTCATTTAAATCTAGATTCCAATACAGGTTCCTACTTGAGTACTCAGACTCGGTTCCAAGACAGCTTCCATTTAAGGTACCCGTTTCAGGTTCCTATCACAGGTTTCGATTTCGGTTCCCATCACAAGTTTCGATTTCGGTTCTTGCACATATAGGAATAAAAACTAAATAAGCACAGTAACAGTTCCAAAAAATTGGAATTGGAACTGGAACTTACCTGCACAGTATCGATTCGGGTTCTACCCGCTATCCATACTCACTCCTACTTTTGACACATAAGTTTGTGAGAGAAAGTTTGTATAAAAAGGTTGTGGGTATAATTTTATTAATAGATGAAGGAAACTGAACTTTATTAGAGGTAGAGGTCTAGGCACTAGCAGCACATAATGTGCTTATTACTTAACATCACAAAAAGAAACGTCGTCAGGTTGAAGTATGTGTGGAACAATCAACAACTTAAAGAGCAAATTAGTAGTAGGTGCAGGTCAGTTAGGTGAGCCAGCAACACAAAGCCATTGGCCAACGAAGAGAGCATCACAATTGAGATTGAATCAAAGAACTCAGTTTTCAAGTCAAATTTCTGTGGAATAGCAGAGCAAGTATCTCCACTGTTCACAACAACCACCTGAAGCACATTCTGGGGTACATTTCTCCTTCAGGAACCCGACATATCCGAGTCAAAACTCAAAAGAGAGAAATAAAAAACTTGTTAACATTTGTTAAGCCCAAATGGTAAAAATGGGCCCCCAAACGGCCAAACTAGATGTCTCAGCCCATTAACAGAAATGTTGATAGAATAGGCCCATGTCTATCCTCTGTTAAGACTTGGGAGTTGGGATGCGTGTCCGTTCCTCATCTAATCCCTGCCAACGGCAATCAATAATGTCGGCACGTCACTCAACTCCCTCTACCCATCCCCCTCCCTCTTTCGTGCTGATAATAAATACCATAAAATTCATTTCTTCAACCTTCTTATTCTCGTAACATTTCAACCTTGTAACAGTCCGCAAGTTTAGCGAAATTCAATGGCTAACTCAACTCAGCTCAAGTCTGATGCTCTGTTGGAGCAGATGAAACAGCATCTGACCACTGATGCCGCTAAAGAACTCACTAAGAAAATCGGCCTTGTATATCAGATCAATATTGCTCCCGAGGTCAACCATACCTCACTGTTTCTCTTATTTATTGTTTTATTTATTTATTTATTTATTTTTAATTTCTGATCCCAATCAAATAGTTAGTTATTTTTCCCCATGTTTTTGAATTGCAGAAAATTGGGTTTAACGAGGTTACTTATATTGTTGATCTTAAAAAAGGAGAGGTCACTAAAGGTTAGAGATTTTGATTTTTGATCTGATTTTTGTTTTGCAATGGTATTGACCACTCCTGATCCAATTTTTCGTGAGTATAACATTAGGATCACTTAATTGTATTATGCCCTTTTATATGTTATGCATAAAGAATTCAGAATCCTTTTGGTTTACAGAAATTCTTACAAAATAGAGGTGGAAAGAAGTACAGAAATTGTGAACTTATTTGTCATTGTATAAACGGTTATAATGAATAATTCATTTTATCGTATAGTTGACTGCTGAACTATTTGATCGTTTTATAAATACATTAGTGAATTTTCGAAAATTTAAGGGACATATGAAGGAGGGNCAAAAAACATTGCTCCAGAAGCAAACTCATTATGCAACTATTCCCTTCTGATAATTTACATTCTACACCAGAAAGAGGAAAAAAGAATCCCAATTTCCAAATTATGTGAACGCTCATTGGCCATTGAAAAAAATCTGATGCAATTACAACTATGTGACCACCATAGGGAATTGTTTTCTAAATTTCTAACTCATTCCCCAGATTGATACTTTACATCTTCAAAGAAGCAAACAAGTTGGTGGCTTTTTATTAGTGTTCTTCCTAACCGCAAGTAATTCTATGCCCATCCTAGAAATCTGAATGATACAGACAAACTAGGCTTGAATGAGTTATGGGAGTACGGCAGAGAGGGCATTCTGGCTTTTCATTGCACCATTCCATGATGCAGTTCCTGCAAACATAGCATGCCTTAAGCACAATTACAGATATTACTGCAGCTCAGTGGAACGTTGAGAGAGAGAGAGAGAGAAATAAAATAGAGATTGACAATGAAAAAGAGAACATCAGGACCATACCAGCAGAATACATGACCACAAGGAGTAGCTGTTGGATGTTGGCGATTACTCAGGCAAAGTGTGCATTTGCTAACTCCAGTTGTAGCCTGTGAGTGAAAAAATGCAAAAAAGAAGCAAAAATCCATTAACTCTGCAAGTTATTCAGAAGAGATGACCATTAAATGATCTGATATTTCCTAACTGCACAGGTGGGAAATTTCTAAACCGAGCTAAGTGAAGCAATAAATCATGCGGCAAAAAAGTAGGTTTTTTGCATGATAGATTCGTTTGAGAAACCTTACACAAGCAGATAATAGCATCATATGGATAATTTAAACAACCAATAATGATTGTAAATATACTGGGTCTGGGAATTAAAAGGTTTATGATGTTCAATAAAAATATCAGTAATTGGCTATTCAGATGTGCTGAGGCAACCCCACCAGACAAGGACTCTTCCAAGTACCATAGGACATATCTGAAACGTGGACCAGGCTCCAACGTTTGGGGCTTTATTTCTTTGAAAACCACAATTGTGAAAATCAATCAGGTTACACTCCTTGCTCAACTACGCCCATGGATAGTCATATGCTAAATGTTAATCACATAACTTTGTTATCCTGCACCTCTGTTAAGTTCTTAAAAGATAAATATATTTTTTATTTGAATTATCTGTTAGTTATTTGAATTATCTGTTGGTTATTTAAGTTTACGTGTTAGAGTTTGTTTAGACTTTTTAGGAAGTTGTTTCTATTATCTCTATTTAAGTCAATAAAGTCTGGTGATAAAGGCTCACAAGAACAGATTGCTTTTCCTAATAATAAAGTTTTATTATTGAATAAAGCTTATTATCTTTTGAGGTCCTGGTTTCCTCTATCAAACCAAACTCTATATTTGCTCTTATCATAATAGGTCCCAAGAAGAACAAGTCGCAGTTCATACCAAAGTGGTATCAAAGCTCAGGCATGGATCAGAGAAGGAAGTGCAGTCTCTGTCAGGGGGACAGCAAACCATCATCAATCAACTAAAGGAATTATTCTCCCAACTCAATACCCGAATTGATCACATTTCAAGGCAAGAAAGAGAGAGTTCTAGAGCAAAGACCGCCTCAGTGGGGCTCATGGTAGTAGCAGTGGGGATGGCTCTCATTCCACGTACACACCAAAGCTAGTCAAATTGACTTTTCCTCGTTTTAATGGCCACGAAGACCCTACTAGCTGGATATGTCGAGTTGAGCAATTTTTTCAGTTTCTTGACACTCCATCAACTGATAAAGTGTCGCTTGCATCCTTTCATTTAGAAGGAGACGCCCAATTATGGTATCAACTCTTGAAGCAGAAAGCACCGGTTATTACTTGGGAAGAATTCAAATTTGGGCTTCACTCTCATTACGGTCCAAACCAATATTTTGATTTCTTTGGCGAACTCACCAAATTGCAGCAGCAATGATCTGTTGAGGAATATCAGACTAAGTTCAAAAAATTGCTTTCCAAAACTGGACATTTGGCACAGGAAAGGCAGGTCAGTTGTTTTATTAGTGGATTAAAGGACAATATCAGAACTGAAGTTCAAGCGGGAAGGCCTTCAACTTTATCCTCAACCATTGAGTTAGCCAAGCTTTACGAAGCTAGGAACAAAGCCCGTGATCTCGTCTCATCCAAAGTTTCGTCCGCAAATTATGAAGCTCAAAGTAGTCCAGTAACAATGCCAATTAGGAGACTAACAATGGAAGAAATAGATGAAAGAAGGAAAAAGGGATTATGCTTCAAATGTAATGATAAATTTGGTCCCGAACATCGTTGCAAAAAGTTGTTCATGTCTCAATGACAGTGATGCAGATGAATAGATGGAAATTACTGGTGGAAGTCCTGAAATACTATGGCCACCTTAGTTGAATTAAACCCTTGAGGACAAGAGTGTCTTCAAGGGGAAGGGAATGTTACTTTCTTAAAAGATAAATATATTTTTTATTTGAATTATCTGTTGGTTATTTAAGTTGTTTGCGTGTTAGAGTTTGTCTAGACTTTTTAGGAAGTTGTTTCTATTATCTCTATTTAAGTCAATAAAGCCTAGTGATAAAGGCACACAAGAACAGATTGTTTTTCCCAATAATAAAGTTTTATTATTTAATAAAGCTTATTATCTTTTGAGGTCCTGGTTTCCTCTATCAAACCAAACTCTATATTTGCTCTTATCAGAATAGGTCCCAAGAAGAACAAGTCGCAGTTCATACCAACCTCAGTGTTTTCTTATCTTTGTTCTCTATTTAGTTTTTCCTTAGGAAACAACCTAGATATATAAAATTTTGCAAATTAACAAGAATACTGGAANAACTACCTTCAATTTGTCAAAAGATTTAAAGCTTGAGCTCTAAATATCTAGGGTCCGTTTGTTTTGTTATTCCAAAACCTATTTTCAATCTTATCCTTAAAATAATAGTTTATTTCATTATTCTCAAAATATTATTATATTTTCTTCAACTATTTTTAAATCTCTTAAGTTTATTAATTTAATAAAACACCCTCAGAAAAAATTTTAAAAATTAACAAAAACACCCCTATCCACTCACATTTATCAGATTCCAGCCACCATCGCCGAAAAGTGGCCGGAATCTAGTATAATCATAGTTAGTAAATACGGGTACGGCAAAAAAAGGTACGGGAATTTTACGGGTATAATATAGCAAACGGTGAAAAATACATTTATAAAAATTCGGCCATAAAATTCGGATACGGGAAAATTATGGTACGGATATATACGGGTTTAATACGGTGCATTGTTAATAATACGTTTTAAAAAATACGGCAATATCAATCTTAGTTTTAACACTTTTATGGATTACCTGGTTAAATAAGCTTATTCTTTATGTTAAATAACCTTAAATAAGGTTAAATAATAATTATTATAAAGAATAACTGATATTCAAATTATAGTCTTCAGACTCAAACACAATATTTAGCCATGATTCTTTACTAATTTAAAATTTGATAAGTTTGATATTAAATGCAACCAATTTTAACTTCCCATTAATCCATTAAATTATATTAAATCAAGAACTAAAATTTTGTCTCACGAATCTATATAAAATATTAGTGTTACAATAGTCTTAGGCATGTTTGGCTTATTATTTTTATCCATATTCTCAATCCTATTCTCCAAATAATGTTTAGCATATTATTCCAGAAATATTACCCTATTTTTTTAATTACTTTTAGACCCATAAGGTTATTAATTTCATCAAATACACCCTGAAAAAAAAAGTTTAAAAATTATCAAAAACACCCCCGCGACCCATACTTGCCGGATTCCGGCAACCACCGTCGGTGGTAGCCAGAATCTGTACAACGGCCTACCTGCCGACCAGAAATGGCCGGAAGTTTATCGATCTAGCCTTTTTCGGCCAGATCCACCACGGATCTGGCCGGAAAAGGCCAGATCTGGTCGTGAACGATGGCCAAAGAAATGGCCGTCGTTGAGGTCAACGACGGCCAAATCTTGGCCATCGTTGACCGAAAACGATGGTCATATCTGACGGCCAAAGATGGCCATCGTTTTGGCCTTTTCCGGCCATCATGGCCACAACAGGCCGTAGATTTGACCTTTTCCGGCCAGATCCGTGATGGATCTGGCCAGAAAAGGCCATAACGATGCGTTACGACACAGATCCGACTGGTCTGTGTAGTAACACGATTTTCCAGCCAGATTCAGACGGTGGTGGCCGGAATCTGGCACTGCAGGTGGTGGGGGTGTTTTTGTCATTTTATATATTAGGGTATTTAATTAAATTAGCAAACCTAGGGGCTTTTTCATAAATTTTTAAATTTTACCTCGTAATACTCCCCTATCCAACTACCCAATATTATTTTTAAAATCCTATCTAAAATAATAAACCAAACGTAGCCGTAACTATTATTTTATACCTATAATATATGACTTTAATTGTTTATCATTTATTTATTTATTTATTTTGATTCAATAAAAGTTAAGACTACTAGATTACTAGGTTGAATATAAGTTATTCTTTATAATAATTATTATTTAACCTTATTTAAGGTTATTTAACATAAAGAATAAGATTATTTTAATATCATTAATCCAATCTATAACCCCTTTTCCAATCGCTTCCCTTAGAAAAAAAGACAATATAATTGTATTTTTATAATAATTATTATTAGGAAACCCCATATATTTTTTGTTGGGTTAATTAGTATTTTATTTCAATTTCATAATCCCATGTTACTAATAAATCATCACTTAATTTAGACCCTACACATCACAGATTGCTTTGGGACTCTGAATTTGGACAAAATAATTAGATCTTGTCCCATTCCACTCTTCTTCTAACATCTGGCTATTTAATTTCCACTGACTTGATTTCTTCTTCCCCCACCAAAACGACGTCGTTTCAATCAGTTTTTTTTTTTCAATCATTCGCGAATAATTTGCGTATAATTCACGAATTATACAGATATTCCAATAATTCGTAAATAATTCGGGAACCATTTAAAAACTACATTTATATGCGTATTTACTAACTAGGGGTATAATGGCACACTACTGGCTGGATCTGGCCGGTAGTGTGTCGATCTATCATTTTTCGGTCAGATCCACAACCAAAGATCTGGTCGTTGATGGCCAGATCTTTGGTCATCGTTGATGGCCAGAAATGGCTGTAGATCTGGCCGAAAAAGGCAACTGGGGGTGGGGGTGTTTTTGTCATTTTACAAATTTTTTATATATTGGGGTGTTTAGTAAATTTGCAAACCTAGAGGGGTGTTTTTGTTAATTTTTAAATCTTACTTCGTTATTCTCACCCAACTCTAAAAATATCAAAAATCCTATCCAAAATAATAAAACAAACGGACCCTAAAATACCCCTTTTTGTGATAATCTTAGAGGAGTAATTGCAAATAAAATAAACTAATAGGGACTAAAAAGTAAAAAGCAGAATTAAGAGCGCTGAAAAAGAAGCTTTTATTGACTCTTTCTCTCNTGCAAACCTAGAGGGGTGTTTTTGTTAATTTTTAAATCTTACTTCGTTATTCTCACCCAACTCTAAAAATATCAAAAATCCTATCCAAAATAATAAAACAAACGGACCCTAAAATACCCCTTTTTGTGATAATCTTAGAGGAGTAATTGCAAATAAAATAAACTAATAGGGACTAAAAAGTAAAAAGCAGAATTAAGAGCGCTGAAAAAGAAGCTTTTATTGACTCTTTCTCTCAATTGAGTTGTGTATAAATAGAAATGGGCTGAATTTATAGCCTTCCTTCACCGACCCATCTCCCATAAAGACCAATTATACAATAACAAATTATAATTCATGTTCTTCAAGTGCACTTGCATGGGTCATGTGCCAAATTGGTGGAAGTCCACCGCTTACAACACTCCCCTTTGGACATCCACCATTTGTAGATTATTAAAAAAAACAAAAAAAAAAAAATCCCATTGGGACAAAAAGACAAACCTGAGTAAAGAAATACAATTCTATGATGAAATTGTAAAGTAGTGTTGGACGTGCTTCATACTACCTCATCAAAAACCTTTACAAAAACCTAGTCAGATAAAACTTGGCCAAGGGAAAAAGAGTACAGTGCATATAAGTCCATTACAATAGTCATTTCCAAACTCCCCCTAATTGATGCTCCCCTTAATCAACACTCCCTCTCATAATGGAAAAATTAACTTAGTTACTTATTAAGCCGCCGCATACATATGTCATACACTAACTTTTCTAATATTGATATCAGTAAATTCTTAGTGAATAAATATGCAAGATTATCGCTGGAGTGTATTTCTTTAACATCAATCTCTCAACTCTGCTGTAGTTCGTGAGTGTAAAAGAACTTCATTGAAATATGTTTAGTTTTGTCTCCTTTGACATATCCTTCTTTGATTTGAGCTATACATATTGCGTTATCTTTATTTATAATTGTAGGAGTATCTGAGGTACATGGTAACTTGCATGTATTCTCGATATGATGGAGGATAGATCTTAACCATACACATTCTTGGTTGGCTTCATGAAACGCAAAAATCTCGAAAAAATTGGGAGAAGTAACAACCAATGTTTATTTTGTAGAACATCATGATATTGCAGTGCCATTGTAAGTCAAAACATATCTCGTCTACGACCAAGCTTTGTAGGCATCGGAAAGATACCTAGCATCTGCATAGCCAACTAATTTAAAATCATTAATAGATTTCTTTGGATAAACTAATCCCAAGTCTGTTGGTCCACTAAGGTAATGAAAGTTATGTTTGATCTCATTCCAATGTCGGCGAGTTGGTACAAAGATAAATCTTGCCAACATATTTATTACAAATGTTATGTCTGGTCTCATACATTGAGCCAAATATATTAATGTACCTATTGTATTTAGATACAGTACTTTAAGACCAAATATCTTTTTATCGTCTTCTTTAAGATGAAATGGATCCTTCTTATGATCAAAAGACCGAACTGCCATTTGGGTACTCAAAGGGTGACCCTTATCTATATTAAAGTGTTTTAGGATCTTTTCAGCATAATTTGACAGATGGAGCAGCATTCCATTTGAACAATGCTCAATCTGCAAGCCAAGACAATATTTTGTTTTTCCATGATCCTTTATTTCAAATTCTATTTTTAAGTACTTGATAGCTTTTGTGAGCTCTTCAAAAGTTCCATTAAGTTCTTGTCATCAACATATGATGCCACAATGACAAATCCTGATTTTGACCTTTTTATAAAAACACATGGGCATATAGGATTATTAGCGTATCTTTCTTTTATCAAATATTCACTAAGACAATCATACCACATTCGTCCTGATTATTTCAACCCATATAACGGTCTTTGTAATTTTATTGAATGCATGTACCTTTGACTTGTTTTATTTGCTTTTGGCATTTTGAATCCTTCAGGGATTTTCATATAAACATCAGTATCTAGTGTGCCATACAAATATGTAATGACACTGTCCATGAGATGGATATCAAGTCCTTTTAAGACTGATAAACTAATTAAGTACCTAAATGTGATCGATCCATCATTGGTGAATACATCTCATCAAAGTAAATTCCAAGTCCCTATAGGAAACCTTTAGCCATGAGTCTGGCCTTATATCTAGCAATCTCATTTTTCTCATTTCGTTTTCTAGGGGTGAGCATGGCCAGTGGGTAGAACTGAAACCTACAGGTAAAACTGAAATCGGAACCAAAACCTACTCAAAACCAACATTGTGTGGGTAGGTTCTGGTTCCATTTTATTGACTATGCGATTCCAGTTCTTACAGGTTTCGAAACTGAAACTGAAACCGAAAC